GAATTAGTGAAATAAATCAACTTTTTGATGATATTCTAATTATATGACCAGCACCTGTATATCCTGATATATTGTGGACTGTGGACTAGTCCTCATGGAGCTGTTGCTCCGTCATTGGCTGAGCTGCACTTTAAGGTTTAAGTCGTGTTCAAACCTCTGCTGTCTCGAACAGAAATCATGTGTTTTCTCACACTCCTCACAAGCTGTGGTTGAACGTGGCCTGTGGTTTAACCTTGACCCACTATGTTACGGTCAGTGTGTCATGCAAAAAGCCCAAAACCAACAAATGATCGCAGTAGCCGGGGTTTAATTCAAACCTCAACACCTGGTTTAACAGGTGCCTACGGTCATTTTTACCCATTTTAAAAATTCTAATCTTCTGCAATGTGTCATTGTGCATGTCAAATGTAAAATGTATGTACATATATTAAAACGGTGTCACATCTTCCCCAGTTACATGTTACATCTGACTTAGGACAAAGAAACCATAAACACCAATGTGAATAAACATCCAGAAATCAACTTAGAAATCATAGAAAAAAAGATGCTTCTTATTCTGCAGTATACTTTTACTGCATTATCGAAATACTCCAGTGATGGTTGTCTGTACATTCATGGGTACATTACAGGAGCTGCCAACAGCTACTTCCAAAGGTGCAGCCGTGTTTTAAACCTCTGCTGCAGTTCCAGGTAATCAGAAGGCTTTCATTGTTTGACCTAATAACATGCACTTATCAAGGTGCTCCCAGGAAATCCAAAAACAGATGCCCCCATTACACACAGACAGAAAAATATGACAAAATGCATTTAAATAGCATCAGCATTATTAATGTGTGTGTAATTATTTATGGCGCGTTCACAGAAACAACACTGTGCCTGCGCTTTGCTCTGTTTTTACCTCGTAGTTGTCCTCTATGAAAGGGAACTGCTTTTGATGCAGGAACGGAGTCTTGGGGATATCCAGTCCGTCTTCGCCGTACAGGAACTGGACCACGGAGCCATCACTGTCCCTCACTGTCAGATCGTACTGCACTACCAGGCCCTCCAGATGCTTTATGACACATCTGCAGAGGGGGAGGGGGGGGGGGGGGGAGAGAGAGAGAGAGAGAGAGAGAGAGAGAGAGAGGACAAAGCGTCCTAGGGTGAGTTTCTTCATTCTGAGGGTGGCCCTGCTCTGGTTCACACCATGACCCTTTGTTCCACTGATTCAGCTTCACAATAGACAGATTTTACAGTTACAAAATCATCATTTATTTTACTGAACCTCAAATCTTCAAACTGATAAACAACTGGACAAGCTTTGGCTAATAAACTGTATGACCCAGAACATGTGTGTGTGGCAGCTGTGAAGGAATAGTGCAGCTCACTGGTTCAGCCCATACAACCTTATGTGTGTAGTACATATTTATCCCCAGTGGCCATGATGGAGCACCATGGGGCCCATGAACTACACCTTCACTGTAGCAGCCATTTTGGCCAGTGACATCCACTGAGGAGGAAGCACTGAATTTGACAAGGCTGCGTTTTTAGCGAGTACGAGCATAAGTCTATTATCAAGCCACAGAGTGTACAGTTGCTGGTTTCTTGTCATGGAGCCTTTTTTTATTATAATTCAAACACTCGGGTAACCTAATAACCTAACAGTTATTGTAACTAAGTAGCATGGGTGCAGGAAGTAGGGGGGGCCTGATGCTGGGAGAGTGCTCCCTTTCTCCTCCCCCCACAGTAGTGGGGAGAGATAGGCTGAATGAACAGTGTGAACGAAGTAGCACCCTTATGCGAGTAGGTCTATACTGTCTTTCTTAGCCCTTTGTTCGGCTGCACAGAAAACCAATAGGGTCCGACCAGCTGAGTTGAAAGCGAGCTCACTGGGTGCACTTGTTGCTATATACACACAGCGCCGCTCTAACCAGCATGCGTGTAGTGACGGGCCACATTTCCCATCATGCAGCGCTGGACTGCATGATGCCGTTTCGTGTTACAAAATTAAAGTGTGGTTTGTTTGTTTCTTATTTCTAATAGTGTTAGTTTGAAGCGTGTCTGTTCAGAACATGATGTTTGTTGGTCAGTGTCATTATTGTGCTGGTTTATATGTCAACCATTAGTTAGGTAGCTGTAGTGAAATGCTGCTCGGCTCGATGTTTTTTGTAATTAGGGCTGTAGGCTACCGAATGTCATTGTTTTAACATACAAAGCCTTTATTGGCCTTTTCGGATGAAACTTTGACGTTTGTCACATTTTATGTTGACTTCACCCTAAAAAAAACAGTATCGTGAATAAACTGATCCATCAGATTTTTTACTGAATCAACTTTCTTTAATGAATAGAACTTTAATTGCTGCTAGATCGCCCGTTGACACCTTATAGGTGGGTCCTTTGTGTTGTTTTAGAAAGGCTGATTGCCCACAAATATGGATGGAAGTGGAATATTTAGTTTGACAACATTTTATCAGAAATAGTTATCACAACAGTTTATTTTTCTCAATAAAAGTTTACTTTTGGACTTTACGATGCTCTGGAGTTATTGAAAATGTTGAACTCATGGTGTGAGCGCTACTGGAATAAAATTGGGGCGGGAGACCACATTGCCACATCCTCACAAGCTGTGGTGGAAACTGCACCTGTGTATTTACAAAACCAAAGACATCCAAACTTTCTGAGATCTAAGTTACACAAATGCTCAACAACACTGAGTTGAATATTTGGGTTACTTCCCGGCCCACTGATCATATAATAGCGCTTGCTTCATCCGTTGCCTTTAACAATGAAGTCAACCTCGCAGTTCTCTATAAATTTGACATATACTTTGGGCACCAGATCTGATAAGATAAGGGAAACTGAAAACATTCATGCAAATGATGTAAACTAGTGAAGTGGACCTGCACAGAGATGTGCAACGTAGTGTGTCTCCGTTTCAAAGAGCTTTTGAGAGAGAAACTGAGAACATGAACCACGCCAAATGGGAATTGAATGCCTTTGCACACAACACGTTAAAGATGGCAGCAGCCTTTTTCAGTGAGCGGTGAGGTTTACGTTACCTCTGCAGGTATCCTGATCTGGATGTTTTCACAGCTGTGTCGACCAGTCCCTCTCTGCCGGCCATACAGTGGAAGAAAAACTCCTGAACACAACGACATCACACATGGAAAAGGAGAGAAAATGAGTCGCATGGAAACAAGATTCACAGCATCGAGGAATCGTTCATTTTCACTATTTAATTCACTAAGTGAGCCCAGTGTGAGCAAGAGTCATAAGAGTGACTACTCTGATACATCCCTACAGGCCCCGCCGTTTAAAAATCACCTTGGCAAAGCAGGTTAGCCAGAAAGGTGTGGTGCGCCTCTCACCTACTCTGTAGCTCTCTCACAGCCCAACAACTAACAAGCTAGCTAGCCCTACAACGTCTACCTGCATCAAAACAGGAAGGCCGTGGATAATTAGTAATGCTGGATTTGATTGGCGGCCCGGGCCAAGCGCAACATCGACAAGCAGTGCGACTCCATGCCCAACGCCTGGCACGTTTCTAGTGACACGACTCGGTGTGATCATGGCCTAACAACCAAAATCTGTTCAAAAGGAGGAGATCTTATCCAATTGGGGGTCCGTGCCCCAATGTGTGTCAATTTAGGGGTCTTGTTGGCGTGGAAAGAGGCTGAGAACCACTGCCCCACACAACACAAACACAGCTCTCCTCGTGTACCTGTGGTTTGATGCCCGTGAGAAACCTTCCAGAAATGAAGCCCCCAGCACTGGGGGCGGGGTCATATGGCTGGAAGCACGGCAAGGACTTCCCAGAAGGCATCAGTGGAGGCCTGCGGCCCTCCAACTCGATCTGGCCCAGTAGACATGAAATCTGAAACACACACACACAAACACACAGGGTTAGGGTATTTTTGGTTTAATAGCCTTCGGTTCATCAGGGTTTATTGAAGTGTGGGGGAGGTACCTGCATGGTGTTTACAGTCGATCCTTTGGCTCCTGACTGGACCATCAGTTGGAGGTTGTTGTCTGGGAAAGACGTGTGGAGTCCGCCGGGCATGCACACCTACAAACACACACACGACGCAAACAAAGCAGTCAAAAGAAGAACCCGGAAAGAAACGAACAACATCAATCTGGTGGCTGAGGCAATGCAGCAACATCAGACGCTGCCTCTGGACCACCTGAGAGGCATTGTTTACCTTAACTTACCAGCTATTGTTTAAAAATGTGCACCATGAAACAGGTCTATGGACCTCATGCTCACCACCCCTGCAAGACAGTAGATCTAGGGGAAACGCTGGACTGAAGTTTGAATTGGTGTAATGAATGGATTAAAAAGGGGACATGTATGTTTGATGGCTACGTAGACAATCTGTATGATACTTTTAATAAGTGCAGCTGGTCTCCAGAAACTCAACAGCTACCCGACTGATAGTTAAAACGTAAACCAGCACAAAAATGACAATTACCAACATAAACCATCATGGTCTGAACAGACACATTACAGACTTAACACCAATACAAATAAATCACATTTGCATTTCGGAACATAAAACAGTAAAAGCAACACAATACTCAGTCCAGCACTGCATGATGGGAAATGTGGGCCATCGCTACACACATGCTGGCTACAGCGGTGCTGTAGCAACAAGCGCATGCAGTGATTTCAGTGACTTCACAACTTTCAAAGTCTTCAGATCGCTGCACCGTACACGCGACACAACTTGCTGTCTTAAGGTCAATGTGGTTTTCACGCTACTGGCCCCCCCCCTACTTCCTGCACCCATGCGACTGTGCGGCGACAGGGTGTCACACACTACATGATCTTTTGTCACGAAAACACACGCGAGAAGGGACACATGCGTAGTCGTGCTTGATGATGTTGGCGTTGGAACACATGTTTACATAATAGCCTATTTCCATACGTAGATCAGTCACTGTGTTAGTGGTATGTTTACTCATGCAAACATCAGACACATTGCACACACAGGTGGGCTACAGGGTTCCATTTAGTTCAGCCAGGGCTCTTGTAGTGTGTGTAGGCTGTGAAAAGGGCCTACTGTGCTAATATTATGGACAAAGTTGGCACTGTGTAGGTCAGGTTATCATAACCGGACGGGCGGGTGCAAGGTGTTAGAAAACCCTGACTCAATGCATAAATAGCAAAATGTAAATAAATATATTGTTCAGTGCCTTTTAATGAGCACCAACTTCGTGTTTACGTGCGTATTGTCAGAAAAAAAACCCAGATTTGAAGTGTAAGTAAACACTTCAGTTCAGGTTACGGTTACGTGAGACGCAGTGGAGAAGGAGCTTTTGAAATGGTAAAAAGACACTTCTGACACCCTCAGATCTAGACACACACAAGCTGGATGGGAATGACTTAAACCGTCTTTTACCATGTAATATAGGAGCAATATTTACGGGGATACAGTGATTTGCAACTTTAACAGAAAGTGGGACTGGGCCATAAAGTGGGGCCCATGACAGACACTAAATTTGGGGAAAGATCCTGCGGTGGAAACAACATACAATATGTGCTTCTATTCCATTTCTCCATGCCGGTATTATGGCTGCCATTCGGATTGAGAGGGAGTGTATCAGTCATCGTTCGCTGTACTGAATGTCAGTAGTAGTAGTAGTGATGGTGGTGCTGCTAGTAGTACTGGCAGGTTACCTTGTTGATGTGGTTGTTCACTTGGTTGGCCACTTCTTTGAACTTGTGGTCGGCCATGCTGAAGTCTTTCTGGTCCGGGTTGAGGTGAGCATCCTGCCAGCGGCTCCGGGCCTCATCTTGATCCACATTGGCGGGCAGGTTGAAGGCTGCCTGGAGGGCCTGAGACATGGAAAGGAAAAAGATAAGAGCACTACATACGTTTTTGGCTGCAGCAGGAAGTTGTTTTCAGGGGAAAAGCTCCAAAGACCCACTGTGCACTACCGGCTCAGCAGAACAGCAGACACAGACACACAGTTGCTTCTGTTGCCCCCAAGTGGCCAAAATGATCAGTTGCTGCAAGTTTATGGTTGCATTTGAAGCCACAATATGTACAATTAGACAAATCCAGCCCCCCCAATGGCAGTATGAACACAGACTATGACACAGCAATGAAGGACGTCAGCTCCTTCTTACAAATCCAGCATGGAAACAAGATGGACAAAGAGCTAAAAGCAACATATGGGCTGCACCAGCTGTGAGTGAACATGCAGAGGTTTTTCAGATTTTTAAAGGCTCAGTGATGAAAGCACTGAAAGTTCAGACACTCAACATTATAGAGTAATTAGCACTCAGTTTATTTTACTGCATGTGTGTAGTACATATTTATCCCCAGTGGCCATGATGGAGCACCATGGGGCCCATGAACTACACCTTCACTGTAGCAGCCATTTTGGCCAGTGGCATCCACTGAGGAGGAAGCACTGAATTTGACACGGCTGCGTTTTGTATTCTACATACTCATCTGTGTGGAGTAGTGCCTTTTATGTCATTATAATATATATATATGACATTTGGTTTGAATAACACACAATCGTTACTGAAATACTTAAAACTATTGAGCATTTTCTGATGTTATCAAAAACATGTGGGCAGAATAATTTGACTTTCATGAATCATGTGTTTGTTAATATCAATTTAGACAATGTAATGTTTATCATATCTGGATACGTGATTTAATTATGATATGATTCCACTAAAAGACGATATAAATGACAATGAATTATTGCCCCCAGCCTGGAGATGATGGAAACAAATCTGATGCTTTAACTCACTCTGGTGCCAATCTGCAGAGATTCTTCAATGATTTTTTTCCTCTGCCTGTTGGCGGCTGGTTTCACCAGGATGTCTTCCACACCTAGACACAAGCACACAAAAGTTTTAAACATAATATTCTTCTTGTGCCTTGAGTAATCGTACACAAAAACTGACAGACTTAAACCAGTAATGCTGTCTGGAATATGTCCGTCAGGATAGCAACAAATGGCTTGGCATGTACATGAACTGTATCTGGGCTCTCACCCAAAGTGAAGCCTCTGTACAGCTGCAGGTAAGCAGTGAAGAGTCGAGCCAGACAGCTGAGCAGCTTGCCACTGGTCTGCCCTCCGTACAGCTCATAGCAGCAGTGGACCAGACCGTAGGCTGACGAGCCGTAGTGGGCTTTGTCCAGAACCCCCACCAACAGCTCCCCCTGACGAATCACCACCTGGGAAATGGAGAAAGAGGGGTAAATACATTTCATTGTTTACATTACATTTGATGTTAATTCATTATTTGATGCCATGAATAGGGGCTGTGGCATCATGATTGACAGCTGCGATTGACGGCAGCTCTGAGTACGGTAGTCACAGAGCGGGAGACTCGGGAAATGGCCCTTCGCTAAGTCCCGCCCCTCGAACGCAGACTGGCCAATCATAGTGTAGCATCGGCCAGCTCTGACAAGAGTCCCAAAACTATCCGACTCTGCTTTTTAGACTCTCGTGCAGTCGTTTCAGATTTTCTTCATTTTCAGGTTGGTTTTGGAGCTAGTCATGGCTAAACGTTGTGTAACTGTGATACTCATTACCCGGAGAGGTTGGAAGGAGAGGAACTTCTCTAAAACGTTACGTTTCTACGTAAAAACCAGGGGATCTATGGGGACGTGGTCATTTTTATACTGTGATCTGCAGGCTTCTATCTTTATCTTTAGAACCTGTTGCAACATGCTGCAATTTGATCATAAATGTATTAATAGAGATATTACAGCTAAATGTCTCTCTGGCCAAACAGTTACCACGGTTCTCACATCAGTTAAGTGCAGCAGCTCGATCGCTCTCACACGAACAAGCTGAGGCCGTGCTGGCAATTGGCATCCGAAATATGTCACCAGCGCAAGATGGCACCTGTACCCGGATGTTTTGTATTCATTAAAGTACTGCAGGAGGAAGCGTTTGTGTGTAGTACATATTTATCCCCAGTGGCCATGATGGAGCACCATGGGGCCCATGAACTACACCTTCACTGTAGCAGCCATTTTGGCCAGTGGCATCCACTGAGGAGGAAGCACTGAATTTGACACGGCTGCGTTTTGTATTCTACATACTCACTCTGTGTGGAGTAGTGCCTTTTATGTCTCCCCTATGTTCATTGGTTTGACTAACACTAAATCTCTCACAAAGACTCAAAGCCACACGTCATGCTATAGGTAATTTCATGTTCACAACATATATCACATTATAGCAGGTTTTCTGATCATCTCATAAATAAATTGTCGATATTGAAATACTTAAAACTATTGAGTATTTTCTGATTTGATCAAAAACATGTGGGCAAAATAATTCGATTTTCTGAGAAACTTGAGTCATGTGTTTGTTAATATCAATTTAGGCAACGTAATGGTGTGTCATGATATATGATTTAATTATGATATGATTCCACTAAAAGACAATAAATGATATTGAATTATCGCTCAGCCTGGAGATAATGCTTTAACTCACTCTGGAGATGCAGCGTCCATCTCTATAGACAGTCTATGTTTGGCACATGTCTTGTGTGTTTGTGTGTGTGTGTGTGTGTGTGTGTGTGTGTGTGTGTGTGTGTGTACCCGTGAGTCACACATGCTGTCAGGGTTGTATCCTGGAGCAGCTCGTGGTGGGACTTGGATCCAAGCTTTGCTGGGGATTTTGGATTTGCCATTCAGGTTGAGAGGCACAGCATTCTGTGGGATTACATTCAGCAGGAGCGTCGACACCACCTGCAACAATCACCACATCAATGACACAATAGTACAAATGAGTTTGGAGAGGCGTTACATTTATGTACATTATGGTTCAGTCACGTTGATATTTTGTTGCCTTTGCGAAAGCCCCGATGATTGAGGGTTCACTTCTCTCTTCCACATAAACACAAAATCAGACGTATGCTCGCTCGCAGGAGGTTACTTTTTTGCTACAACAAGCAGAATTGACTATCGCTCTGTTATCATAGACATGTTAGGATTATTATCGTGGCATTATCGCATTGAACGATAACCTCGTCATATCGCCAAGCCCAGTCAAAAGTTAAATTACCTGCTTTCCTGTCCAGAGTTGCTGTGGTTTGAGTATGGCCGGCAGCAGCAGTGTAACTCTGCCTGGTTTGTCAGTGAGTCCTCTGTACACCAACTCAATGTACTGGACTCGGGTGAAGAAACAGCCTCGTATCGTCATCCTCGTACCGGACACCATGTGGTCCTGGATCAGACCCGCTAGAGGTTTACCATCCTAAAGAGAGAGCGAGAGAAAAACATGAGCGCTGACCTGTGTGCGCTGTTCGGAATGTGTAGGCCACTAAAAGCTGCCTGCTACTGAGCACAATCACGTCTGAACACTTTTGCCCAGTGACAGCGACGCTGGTACCGTTTTCATAGATAACGTCACAACCGTGCAAGACGCAGTCACGAAGCGTTCCAGGTGTGGTGTTGACATCATAATGGTCAAGTTCGAAGATGGGCGTGGCCCGAGCAAGGAAACACCGATGTAATTTGGTGCGTGACCAGTGTGATCCTGACGCAAGATGGTCTTCAGTTATTATTAAGAGTCTGTCAACAATACGGAAAGGACGCTACAGAGAAACCTTTAACCTTTTATTTGATCTGATCAGTTTGTTACCGGTCTAACCATGTCTCGCTCAAGGAGAAGTCTCATTCTAAAATCTCGTGGTGACTTGTTACCAGAAGACAACATAGGAAACGTGGAAGAGTTAAAAAAGAGGAGTCCAGGAAATAGTTTGTTGTGTTGGAGTACGTGTTCGACAACGTGGATGAGGACTAACTCTCACGCGAGACTTAACAGACAATATCAGCTTCAGTTGTGTATATGGTTTTGTAGACACTCTTCACCGGTTCAGTTCATTTGATTACATGCATGTGTGTTTGTGTGTAGTACATATTTATCCCCAGAGGCCATGATGGAGCACCATGGGGCCCATGAACTACACCTTCACTGTAGCAGCCATGTTGGCCAGTGGCATCCACTGAGGAGGAAGCACTGAATTTGACAAGGCTGCATTTGGGTAGTACGAACATAAGTCTATTATCAAGTCAGACAGTTTGTGTCATGGCACCTTTGTAGAAATAACCTGATACTGTAAATTTAAGTAAAGGGACCAAACACTCTGGGGTTGTTTAGTCGGTGTCCGTTTAGTCTGGCCTTTTCTACAATAAACAGTATAAAGAGACTCTCGCAAGAAAAGGAATCAGCTGAAAGCATTAATGCTGTTTTGAGCTGTCAGATATCTTACCAGCTGACCCTTCGCCAAGCCCCACCCAGCTAATCCATTTAACTGCCAGAGCTACCATGGAGCCCACACTGTCACTAACTGCACTCTCTGAAAAAATATTAACTAATGTTTGGAAATATATATCCAGGATGTCAAATTGATTTAGCAGAGAAAACTGGTTAAAAACATAAAATACACAAACTAAAGCCTCCACATCACAATGTAAAAGTGAACCACCACATCACCAGGTGACCGAGACAAAAGACAATGAAATTAAGGAACAACACTGTCCCTGTAAAGCCTGGTTGATCTATATTCACTGGAACAATTATTAAAAAGCAACAGCATCAAGTGTATACATCCAGTGTACCTTCTGTAGCTAGCATAGCATAGAAGTGCTAACGTGAGCGCATGATGTACTAATGTGCTCTGGTAATCTGAGCTCCACAGGTTTTTACCCAGTAACGTAACGTTTTAGAAACAGATTTCTCCTTCCAACCTCTCTGGACACGAGTATCAGTATTACATTTAACCGTGACTAGCTCTAAATCCACTAAGCCAGGATGAAAACTTGGATGGTCTGAAATGTCAGATGAATCTACAGAGCAGAGCTGGATAGTTGTCGGACCCTGGTTGACGCTACGCAATGATTGGCCATCCTACGTTTGAGGGGCGGGACTTAGCGAAGGGCCAATTGAATAAGAAAAAGGTTCATTTGCATGCAACAATTAGCCGACACTAAATACTGGCTATGTAATGTAAATGAATGTGCCACATAGCAGTATTACTAAGTAATTTCGATAGCGGCTCTGAGAAAAACAGAGAACAGCACACGTTTGTGATTTTAGGAAGTTCCACCTTTACTCAGCTTAGTTATCCAGACAGCTTAGTTATCCAGACAGTGTAACCCTGCTGTCTGAAACAGTACTCAGGTCTAATGGAACTAGACAGACCATATGCCGCGTTTAGCTATTCCAATATCGAAACACTCAATTACAAGCCTGATGAAATAATGAGTTAAAACAGCACAGATTCAAAATGTAAAACTTTAGATTGACAACTATTGGTAGCGAGGAGTTTAGTCTGTAGCGAGCTGTGTTAGGACTCTGTGAAGGTATTCCATCTACAGTGTGTCTATATACCAACCTTGGGGACGAGGTACTGCTGGTCAGTGCTGACTAACGTGTAGGCCTCTGCTCTGCCCAGCTCACTTTGAGGGAAGTGCGCGTTCATCTCATCTCCATCAAAGTCAGCGTTGTACGCCTTGCAGTTGGCATAGTGGAGCCTTAGTACCTGCAGCATCAAATGAAGACAAAAGAGCAATTTGTTATACATCATATGTTGATTTCTAACACACAACAGAAGGAATGAGCCTGGACCGAATAGATGTACCTTCTCTCCTGGTAAGATGCGTGCACAGTGGGCTTGTATGGAGGGTCTGTGCAGAGTTGGCTGTCTGTTGAGTAACAAAACATCTCCGTTCTTTATATGACGCTTCACCTGGACAGACAAAAGGACACCGACAATGAAAGGTCAACTCTTACTGCAGGGTACACAAGGCTTTGTGTCTGTGCACTACAACCATTACACATCATAGTATCGGACTTACTATCTTCATGGACATCGTATGTGGACCGGGACAGGGCGTCAGCAGTTGCTTGGCAACGGCTTCTCTCTGTGCAAGGCTGGTGGGCGACAGGATGGTTTTCCTACCATCCTCATTTATCACCATGGACGCACCGGGGTGGACGTTGGGTCCGTTGAGGACGGCCTGACGAAGCTCCTTCACGTTCCACGGGGTGACGGGCTGCGGATAGGTCAGCTTGGTGGCAAACACCTGCACAAGGATGGGAGAGACGGAGAGCTCCATTCATTCCGGCAGATGACCTCATTGCACATAATTTGCTAAATTGTCTCATTGACTCTCACCTTTTTGAGTCCACCACTTGCTGTAATTCAGTTTAGTATAAAACATTTAGCCTCCTATAATGGTCGCAATGGCGACGATACAATGTCCGTTCTACTCCTGGCACTCTTTTTTAAATGATCAGAAACGCAGTCAAGACGTACCATGGGTAGGCCAATCTCGTTGGTCTCTATGTACATGTCTGGACAGATGACAGATCGTGCAGCGTAGTCCACTCGTTTCCCCATCATGTGTTTGCGGAACAATCCGTCCTTCTTCTCCAAGATCTGGCAGAGGAGTAGAGACAATTAAGAAACTGGCTTTGTTCGTCTTTTTTTGGCAAACAAGGCTTGTTACATTGCTAAATGGTTTCATGTAACAGATTGTTGTACCAGGTTCTGATTTGTTTAGTTTGTTGGAGTGTTATTACATCAGATCGCTGTGGTTATTTGTTGATAGGATGGGTAAGAAGCAGCTGGAAAAACATAGTGATCTGACATTAAAACGGGTCGTGATGCACAGTGCTGTTGTGTGTATCTGATACCTGTCTGATTCCAGGGTATTTCTCCGTCAGCATTTTGTCCATGTCGCTGTCAAAGACGATGTTGACGTGGGTCTGTAGTCGCACCCAGATGTTGTAGAGTTTATCCGTTACAGTCACTCCGGGGATATTTATCAAAAACGTCTGGTCCGTCTGTTCCGTCTGGTCCTTCTGTTCCGTCTGGTCCTTCTGTTCCGTCTGGTCCGTCTGTTCCGTCTGTTCAGGAGCCTGAGAAGGGACAAGAGGGGACAGGTTGACATGTTGTTGAGAACCCCGGTTGGTTGACTGTAGCACAAAAAAATAAAATCAAATCAAGATCTTTGCAGCTGTGCCTTATTATACACAAACATGAATTTAAAAAAAGGTAAGGAGAACAACTGTGAGGACAGAGGGCAACATCTGAGACACACTTGCACACATTTCCTCTTACCTCCTCCTCCTGCACAGTTTTCTCCCCTGCTATGAGAGCCAGAAGTTTCCTTATAAGTCCACAGTCCTTCATGACGGCCTGCATGTTGACCGTCTGACCGTTTGTAAACATCTGGTCGCCCAGTCGATTAATTGGACGATACCTGACAGGAAGAGGAGGGGTGTGACAAAGCAATATGGTTACACTTCCTCTGCTAACATCAATACTATTGAGATTAGGCTTTACGATGACACAATATAAATACGTCCACTATGACACTGTAATCCTATGTTAAACAGATTGTAATCTGATTGTGAACAGACAGTTTGAACACGCTTCTATTCTGCCTGAGAACTTCTAGTCAAACGTGATAGTGTTGTAGCGATTGTTCAGGAGGTCACGACTAATGTTTGTGCACTTTTATACGACCAGTGGCTCAATGCACAGTGTGTGAGATGGTTCGGTCCATAGACATTGAATAGCAGTAGAAAGGACATTTAACTGAAGGAAAGAAAATGGCGTCTGTTGTTAGTCGTTATAGTGACGACACGTTAGCGGGGCCGGAAAGTGTTGTGGCTAGTTAGCTTAGCTATGTAGCTTATCCTCCTCCGGAGAGAGGAGGAAGGAACGTTTGATCCAACACTGCCGCTGGCCACCATCCCGCTGTTCGGGTTGATTTCTGTAACCAGGGTAGCATGGGGGAATTAGCAAGATAGCTAACTAGCCAGATTTCCGCTAGTTAGCTAGCTAGTTTGCTGATTCCACAATACTTAAGTGCTACACCGGTTGCAGTAAATGAGCCTTGTGCTTGTTTAAATCGTTACTACAAAACTTTATGTCGGTGAGTCTGCTACTTGCTGTAAGTCTGTTTCCTTTATTGGGAAGTTAGCCCACTACAACAGTCAAAACAATGGCCGCCGCTCTGACCATTCTGATACGTTGCTTGTACTTCATTTCTATGGTTGCGTCACACTGTACCTGCACGGAGGGACCACCATCAGCTCCAGGAAGAAGAGATCTGGATAGAAACCTTCCTCTCCCTCCCTCGACATCGTCCCCTCCTCCAGCCCAGCGAACAGACACTTCAAGAAGAAGCCTGGAACAAAGAAAGGAGATAAGTTTATAGTTTGAAAATGATTCAGACATTCTAACAGACAAAAGCGATTGAAGTTGTGAAGTTGTGGCCTTCTTTCCAACTCCTTTACCATTAAACAATATGGCAGTTTCTTCATATGCTCCTTTTCAAATCAAATACTATTCAAGTAACGTGGCACACTTCAAATACTCACTTTCAAATGTGTCTGTATGATCTAAACTGGCCCTTTAACCAGGTTCATTTTTTTTGGGCCTACCTTCTTTCCCCCACAGTTTGTTGATGTGCTCTCTAGCAGTGCTAGCCGTCAGGTAGACTCTCCTTCCAGCCATCAGTTCGTCTGCTGGAAGACAGAAACAAAACCCAGTTGACATCTATTTACTGTCTGTGTGTGTGTGTATAGGCTGGGCTTACAATGGGTGCCATGTTGGTGGTCTCTTTCCCACTCCGTCACTCAGAAGTCAACAATACGTTGAGTCTCAGTCTCCTCCCGCCTGCATAACTGTTGGCACAACAATGAACGGGATGTGTACATGTGTTATATGAGCTATTTCTTTCTTTAAATTATCACTAACCATCAGTGTCGGCACTGGTCTGCACTCCTGATGGCATTGTGACAATCAGCTTACTGTTGTGTTCACGGCGCACTGTAATCTTGCCGCTCCTACACACACACACACACACACACACACACACACACACACACACACACACACACGATTAGGAATTTGACAATAATCTATGCAAACATCATTAATTAAGCAACCTATATTTTCAGCAAATACCCATTTACACATCAGTAAGGTTGACTTCATTATAATCCTACTACAACACAAATATAGTGGACAGCAGTGGACACTTCCTCCTGTGTATTTCACTGTGGTCATATACTTCTGGTGGCCAGTGGGAGATTAGTCCTCAGTGTGCTGTTTCATTGTACAACCCACAGACCATAACAGCTGGTACACAGTAGAGTATATACACATCTGCAAGTATAGAGAGTATTATAGCTCAACATTAAAGGAGAACCAGGCTCAATTCAACACTACTTTTATCAAGTTACCTGCAGTAAGGGCACTTCCTAGATTTCATGTGGATCCTCCAGAAGTCGTTGATCAAACTGTTCTTCTTTTCCACAAGGTGCTTGATCTGAAAAAAAAGACACAAGAATTAGGACAGTGTGCCTCCATGATAACGGCATGGTGTGTAACAGTAAGCTTAAGGTAGCACACACTACACTGTGTGAGATGCTCACTTAGTCATTTTACTAAGTGATTTAAAGTTTAGCAGGTTTGTTTGAGCTAAATGCATACCTGGGAGGGTTTCTGGACAATATCTGTCACTTTTAAATAAGATAAACTTTCTTGCACTTAAAGTATATATATATATATAATGATTTTGTTATCTACGTATTTATTCATATTATGTACCTCTTATAATATTGTTTAACTGAATGTGTACTCACCGGTTTGGTGTTTTCTGAACCCTCAGTGTTCACTCCAACTATCGTGTCTGTAAACTGCTTCAGCACCAGCTGGATCTCATCTCCACTGGCTTTGGGATTCTCTTCCAGGTGCTAACACACACAATTCACACAAATGAGTAAGTAAAGTATAAACGGAGATCTAGACTAACACATCCACAGTAAAGAAGAAATGCTATCCAACACAACACACAAAAATAACAACATTAAAATTACCTCCTCCACATCAATGGACACGAATTGTAATGATGAATAATGGTTGCTGTATTTTTGGGGATAACGTGCGCTTTAGTCTGCACAATCCTGCCCTGACTAGTCTCCAAAGAAAGTTCTACACCCACCTGGTTGAGAACTTGATCTATTTGGTAGACCTCCTGCATGGCCCCATGGCCCAATAACCTCAGCTGGTTCAGCAGCAGGTGGATGGCAGCTCTACGACACGTTAACATGTGACAAGCAAGACAGGAACCACGAATAAACAGGTAGAGTTTCTGATGCAGGAGAGTAGGAGGAGGTGAGAGAAAAGCATACAAAATATTAGAAACTATTACAAAGGCAGGAGGATTAGAACACGTTTTTAGACAGGGGTTAAAAAGTCACACTAATGTATGTTAACTCCTCAGGCTGGTCCATCAATACCGGTATCACACCCTGTATTATTGAGTCATAAACATGTGTGTGCCTCTGTGGCCATGCTTACATCAAAGAACAGCGGGTTGTACACAGGTAGAGGTAGCTCTACATGTCCCAGGTGTCCTGGACAGTTGTTGAAGTCCTGACAGCAGGTTGAACACACCTGGCAAAAACAATATCAGAGAGCAACATGAAAAATATGTATCATTTTAAGTGCTCGGCGAAAGTTAGGGCTCTCAATCTAAAACTTTACACACAGAGGTACAACGACAAGTCAGGAACAGGCAGATCTGTAGCATTATGCAGCTGTATCATCTCCGTATCTTGCAACACACAGAATGTATGTTATGTGATTTTCAGTGGAGACTTACCTCTTTGTTGTCTGCTGGTCCGAGGGCCAGATCGTACAGGCTGTTCGGGGCCACGTTCCCAACACCATCGAGGAGCCTGAAGTTAGTGATCACCTTCACACTCAGCTTCCTGCACAGGAGATGAGAAGAATGCATTATCAGAACCACGTAACTGCTTCCACAATTATACAGGATTCTTAGCAACGTTTGGGCTATTGTAGGATATCAGGGGATAACTGGTAGCTTTATCATATGGGTGTTATCAGTATTTAGGTGGTTAAGTGTCATCTTGATAGGCGCCTACAGGGCTGAACCAATGTAGGCTAAAATCTGAATAAACAACAAAAAGACAGGGGTATGAATTTAAAATTGGGGTAACGTTGTTCTTTTAAAAAAATGTATTTTAAACATTGACGTAGCAACTCCTAGCTATGCATCTGTGTAATTAGCGAGAGGAGTGCTGGAACATAGCGTTACAGCATGCTGACACGAGCAGGCATGTTGTTTTGAACTCATGTTAGCTAGTTTACAAGCTATCGCTCACCTTATCTCTTCGGCAGAGTACATGCCAAACGACATGCCCTCCAGTTGCCGCCATGGCAAGTCTTTTTCAAATAACATTTTGGAGAATTAGCCACACTTTAGGCTGGTTATTGATATAAATTCATGGCGTACAGTTGAACCACATGCGACGTAAAGTTGCTCCTGTTCTGCACGTGGGACCGTCAGACCAAGCGTAAGATTAGAGGGGAGACAGAAATGCAGAGGACTAGGCTTTTACACACACTTTGCGCATACTGTACTCTTAAAATGACTGATTCCATATTAAAATCTAAGCTGGCTCGATGTTACGTGTTGATAGAATGTAGTATGTCTTCAAAATACAACGTGCTATATTTCTTCTCTCCCCTTTTCTCTGCCCAGATGGTTTCTTCCTCCCAGAAGCCTTCACTTTGTAACAACATGGCGGCGCCCGGACGGCACGTAGGGCATTATATTCAAAGAAACACCCAGTTTTTGCGAAATAATTTCGAGCAGTTATGGAGTCATCGGTAAGACCGCTGTGATTTAAAGCAGAAAGTTATTCAGTCGACTTAATTATCTTTTAATTTGAGTTACTACATTCATCTTACAGCTGCAGCTAGCATCATTTGACAGGAGGTCATGTCTTTATGAAGCTAATTTACGTCACTGCAGCTTCATATTTTCTTATATTTAAGCAGGTGTGAGGAGTGTTAGGCATGCAAACTGTGTTATACCTCAATTATTTGACACGGTTTATATTTGTCAGTTATCAGAACATGGTGCTTTTCCAACATGGCAAATGATGTGTGCCAGTCATCCTCTCTGTACCTCATACACCCTTTTAAACATGTTATCGTGGACACGTCCTTCCTCAGCATGTTTGATTTACAGTGCAGTATTTGCAACTAGGGGATCTATGAACTAACACGATTTTTTTTTTTTTCCAGGAGTTTTGGTTGGTCTCCAGCTCTGCGACAACAAGCTGCAGAAGCGAATAAAGGTAATCTGGAATAATAATTTTGGTCATGACTGAGTCTCTCTGTGAATCAGTGAATCTCTCTGTTAATCGCTATAACATGAGGCACACTGTTGCACAGGTGACATGTTCCTACCTTAAGTTTATGTTAAGCTGATCCAACACACACCGTCCTGCAGCCATAAATCTACTCACTACAGCAATATGCATAATCAGATTATATATTTAATCAAGAACATGTTGTATGTATGATCACGGAGAAATGCTACCGCCAGGTAAACCAATATTTACAAGAATTTTAGAAATCAACCCAGAAAGCATTTGACTATTCAATAAAATATATTTTGGTAGATGCTGAAGTAGAATGATCTTTTTCTAAAGACTGATAGCGCCATCGTGTGGCTTAATTAATAAAGGCAGTTAAAAAAAGTAGATTACTTGATTTCCATAGTCGTTAGATCTTCATAGGAACTTTTCAAAAACATGTCTTTTCAGTTATTAATCACGAGCGTGTGAAACGGGAGTTATTAGCCAAATATATTTAAAAATCACAATTAGATAGGGCATATGAAATAACAACCTGGAATATAAAATAGGAAAGTGTACGTATGGGCCTCTGCAGATTGGATTCAAGAGTCCTGCTTTGAAGTGGCTGCGTAAGATTTGCACTGTTGATAGAACCACACAGACCTTAAATATGCAGAACAAACAATGTAATTTATTTAATGACACTTTAAGGTAAACAAAAATCATAACCATTTCAATATGCAGAACAAATAATGTAATTCATTTGATAATAACTATTTACAAACATATTGTTGGTTTTTTTTGTCTTAGTGGGTTTGTTGACAAATAAATAGACAGATTCTTCAAAGGAATTCATTCATTGACACCTGTTAGACCCACCTGTTAGATTTGACCAAATCAACCATTGCATACATCAGAGGCCAGGCGGTATTTATACTTGACTGTAATACATCAGTGATGTTAAATCCCACCATTTCCTCTGTGTCGTTGCAGAATCTGCAGATGCTTTTGTCATCCCCAGGAAGAAAACATGGTATGTGTCCATCACTGCGACATGACGTCTCATAGAGCTTCTTTAAAAAGCAGTTTAAATTCAAGTCAGTCGAGTATTTACACTTGCATAAATGTCTACAAACACACCTGTGAGTTAAAGTCACTTCTTTCTTGAACAGGAGCAAGGAGGCCGTGCTGGAGGCTCTGGCTTCGACTGTCGGCAGGGTGAGAGCTCCTTGGTGTCCCTCTCTCTGATGATCGTTGATGATCGTTCAGTGTGGATGTTTACTTGTGTATCCGTCTGTCTGTGTGTTTTATTTTCTTCTTCTCTCCTTCCAGGATCCTACAGCACATCCCTACTATTTCCAGGATGACCCGTACCTCGCTCCCAGGACCTCCTCTGAGTTTGTACGTGAAAACAAACAGACACGCTAAACTTTCCACTGGCTTTGCGTTACTCGGCTGGTTTATTTTAGTTTTCTGTTCTGAAATCAGTCACTTGTCATTTATATTCCCCTATAAAGGGACCTCTGCTACCGTTGTTACTTCATAATGATCGTTTCAAAAATATTATTTACTTTTACAAGGAGACAAACATTAAGTTTGGTTACATTTCTTCTTCTTGTATTTTAGGTCATAACATCGTTTTAACACCTGCTATGTATTTATGTTAATGCCCCCATTGAGAACACAGATGTGGTCAAACACAGGATGCAGAACTAATGAATCGGTGCTAGCAGCTCAGATTGCTGTTGTATCCACAATCACAGTAAAGAGAGCTCCCTGGGTTGTTATTTTGTAATTGATCATGTGACATCGTCCCTCTCTCTGCAGAGGCTGTACTCTCTCTCTCAGGAGTCTGGCAGATCCGCGGCCAAACACTTTGTCGACAGCAATCCCAAGTTCTTCACCAAAGACTTTGCTGAGCCACATATACCAGTAAGAAACACACATCTTCTACAGCGAGGGAACACGTAGAGAGGGCTGAATATAGTGTCTAGTCACAGGTGTGAGTAATTAAGGGGATTGAAATCAAACATCAGCAGGATAAAAAAAGAAGTTCTGGAAGTTAAACTGTAGCTTTACTCTCAGGGCAAACGTATCTTCTTTGGTTTCACTTTAATGTTTGAAACAATGCTGATGTAACACATTCAAATATCTAGTGATGTTTGAATCCTATTGTGTGTGTGTGTGTGTGTGTGTGTGTGTGTGTGTGTGTGTGTGTGTGTGTAGTGTCTGATGCCAGAGACTGTGTCACTGCTACTTGAGGAGATGAGTGAGGAGGCACTGAAGGAACGAATCAGCTTGAGGAAAGTTACAGCCGCTGTCGACATGTATGATCAACTGCTGCAAGCTGGTGAGAACACACGCACACACACTCTCTTTCTCTGTTTATGGGATGCTGCTACATCAATTCTTCAATTCTTTCAGGCACAGCGGTCTCTGTGGAAACGACCCATGAACTGTTGGACCTGATCTGTCTCTACTGTGACAGAGACCCTGTCCAGGAGGGAGGAGCGCAGGCAGAGGACACGGTGAGTCCTCCCCTGATCCCAACCTCAGGGGGATGCTCACACACCAACAATTATTTTCATTATCAATTAGCTGCCAATTATTTCAACAAGTCCAACATGACATTTGAAAGTGTTGTTCTGTTTTGTCCCAACAACTGTCCAAACGGCAAAAATATTCAGTTCAGTTCAAGAGAAAAAAAACAAGAAAACACATCGGAGAAGATGGAAGTTCTTTAAAACGACCAATCGGTTATCAAAATAACTGCGATCAATCTAATATTCTACAAACCCAAAGTTGGGTTTTTGTTGCAGTGAGTAAAGTAATGAATGAGCCTCATTCAGCGGGAGACTTGAGACATCATAGTAGTACTGCACTGTGTATGTATGCTTACTCCTGTGTGTGTCTGTGTCTTCAGGAGGAGTCAGCAGAGGAGGTGAGGAGACGGAAAGGGAGGTTCCGTCGGCCTTCAGACCTGCTGAGGTTCACCTGGAGAGAGAACAGCAATGCAGAGAGAATCTTCAACCTGCTGCCAGAGAGAGACACGCGGTGTTACTCTGCGCTCATCAGAGGCATGGTGAAGGTATGCACAGCTTCATCGCTGGTGTGGTGCACACTGGAAGGGCCTCTTCGTGGTTTATTGGGATTGTTGCTGCATCTGCTGTAGACTGAGTGTCTGTCTGTCTGTCTCTCCCCAGCATGGAGCCTATGCAAAGGCCTTCAGCATGTACACAGACATGCTTAACAACAGAGTGACCGGTGAGTGGCCAGAGAAAGTAGCACATTAGATGTATACACCACTTTAATGGCAATATTTTGAGTAGAAATTGTCTGTTCAAGTGATGACACGTGCAGTTGTATTTTGTTTCTTTGCTTTAAAATTAAAATACAAAGTACACTCTGCAGCTCATTTGAATAAATTCTCCAATCATTTTGGTTGAAAATGTCTTTATTATTATTTCAAGAGGCAGTTTTGTGTTGTCATCATGTTTCATCTGGATTTATCTGTGAAAGTGATATTTTGTTGAGTGTCATTTATGATATGATCAGATATGCTAATAATCTTCAGTACACGTCTAGACATCGGGTGCCTTCACTGTTGGTTCACTGTCTTTCGATCTTCCCACAACTTAATTAACAGAAGCTTTGTTGAAATGAACATTCAGTATGTTTGTTTTTAACCTTGTGTATTGGTCCGTTTATTGTACCATGAGATGGTGCCAAAGAGTGACATTTTAAAACGGACAGCCTGCTGAAGTTTCTGCTCACCTTCTGTCTCCAGCTGACGTCCACGTCTTCAACGCTCTGATGTTGGCGGCTCCAGATGTCCGAGACAAATACAACGAGAGATGGGACCTCATCGCTGTAAGAGCCTTTTCACTGTCCCACTCAACACATCACCAGGTCTCCTTGTAAAGTCTAACATTTATATTTTCTAATTTTCTTACCAAATTAGTTGATTACATTTCTTTCTTGTTTTTGGATGATGAAATAAATACTCATTTGAATAAATTGTGTAGAATATCTACATTCAGTGTGAAATAATTTAAGAATTATGAAAACTCAACCTCATTATTTTAATATATATATTTTTTTAATAAAAACATACAAATAAAAAAATATACCAGCCAGTAAAGCACTGTTATGTAAATTAGAATGATAACATATTATATATATTGATTCATAATAATTTAGTTTAAAAAAATCACAAATAATTGTTTCAGATATATTTATTCATATAAGTTATTTAAAAATACTTATTTATGTTTTTTTATTCAATATCCGAATATTTTGACAAAAAATCTGATCAGGCTGTTGTGCAAATTGAAAATTTTGAAATTCTTTTAGCCAGATTTGGCGGGAAAAGTCACCCTTGACTATTGTTGAAAGCTCCTGTTCTCTCTCTCTCTCTCTCTCTCTCTCTCTCCCCCTCTCTGTCTGTCTGTCTGTCTGTCTGCAGGAGCTGTTGAACCAGATGAATCAGCAGAAAGTTCAGCCCAACCTGCTCACCTTCAACAGTGTTCTCAAGGCTCTGAGACGCTGTGGCTTTCTGGGCAAAACACAAGCTCTGCACACGCTGAATGAGATGAAGGCTATGGGAATAGGTGACCACACACACACACAGGGGTACAGTAGTAAGACAACACCAGAACACACAGGGGTACAGTAGTAAGACAACACCAGAACGATGGATGATCCATCGTCTTCTGTTGAAAACTAACTTTGTGTCTGTACGTGTTCAGCTCCCAGCCTGGCCTCCTTCGACCACGTGCTGGCGGTCTTTTCCAAATCAGGTAAACAGAGTGTGAGGCTCCATCATACCGACACACTACTGCTACAGTCTCTGGTGTCGTCGTCTGAGTTGCATTAAGCGGTTTTGTTTCCTCTCCAGCCTCCTCTGGCCAGGGCAACACTGACATTTTACAGGAAGTGATGTCAGAGCTGGCAGGAAGCAGCTTCACCTGCCAGGACCCCGATGATGGTATGTTGCTGTGCATGCGTGTTATGATTCTACACATTTGATTTAAAGCGAGGGATGCACCGAATGGCTAGATCAGGTATCAGTGACAATGAGGCAGATCTGTTCAGTTCAATTCCATGTTTATGTAATATATACATTACCGAACCTGTTTTGTTGCAGCATTTCAAATATTTACATTTGAATTGTAATTTCTGTTATTTTGAAGAAAGTTGCCAGCTCACAATTTATTATTCTAATAATAAATAACAATTCCATTTCCACGCAGTGAGGTGTGCAGCTCATTGATTAAACACTGGTATCCGATCGGTACTCGGTATCACCTCAGGTTTTGGTTTCAGCACAGAAAAAGTCCAATTGGTGCATCGCTACTTAAACCCATAGTCTGTATATAAGAAGTGGACTGTTAATACTTTCTCTCTTCTTCTTCCTAGTTCTCTTCTTCTCGAGCGCGATGAGAATAGTAAGTCATTTGTATTACTTGTTTAAATATTCATCACATATAGATCTCTGTAAAGTGCAAGTCCTTTTTTAAGTGCACAGTTGGTTATTGTGAGCCTTGTTTTTTCATCAAGCTCGTCTGTGTCTTTTTATACTTTAGATGGATAACAGGATTGCTGTTACAATATAAATTACACCCTTTTCTAAACACCCAATTCAATCAATCCTGCTCTCCTGTTTCTGAAAAACAATCATTTCTGTGTTTGTATTCGGATGTCGACTGGTTTGGACACTGATCTTTGATAACATTTAAATTGTCAGTAGCATTTTCAGGCTTTTTAAAAGGCTAGTCTTAAATTTGTCTTAAAACATGCAGATACACTGATCCTGTCTTCCCATTCATTGTACATTTACACGTTTTCCTCTGACTGTTTTTGTCTCAACAGTGTTTGGATAATAAAGATGTAGAGCTGGGTTATAAGGTCCAGAGTCTAGTTGAACAGGGGGAGAACTGGAGGCTTCTGGGAGATTCCTACCAGCAGAGTATTTATTAGTAAGTACAAAAACAACTCCCACCGACCGTAAACACATCCCTGTACCTCCTGCATGTGGTCTCGGGGTGACAGCGAGAAACAACTGGGAGGTTCTGGTCAATGCATGAACCACATGTAAGTTATAGGACGTAAATTCATGAGCCTCACAGCGGCCCGAAGCCTGGACTCTGGTGATTATATCAATACTGTCGATGAATTTCCACATTTTTGTCCTTTTTTTTTTAACCGGACCTCTCCTCTCTTCTGTCCAGTGGTCGCTTCTTCAACCTGCTGTGTATGATGGAGCACATCGACGTGGTGCTGAAGTGGTACAGACGGCTCATTCCCTCGGTCAGTACAGCTCTGCATCTCTCTGTCTGTTCAGCTGCACCACTCTAGACCATGTAATGCTGTATATGAAGAATCAATAACACATTATGGGATATTATAAGCTGCAGCTGGTACTTCACTCCATTATCAGGGTTCCCATGAGTCCCGGAAAACAGTTGATCCAATTTGTCACGGAAAACACGAGAAAATGAGAGAAAATGTAAAATCTTCACTTCACTTTTGGACTTCCTTTAATTTGTCATACAAATGAATGGGATAGACTGCCCTCATCTTACCTCAGGAGAAAGTGAGATGGATAATTAACCATATAACTAAATATAATCTTGCTTTATGGAAATGAACAGCATGTTGACTGTGTTTCCAGTTGTACTACCCGAACCCTCAGGGACTGAGGGACCTGCTGCAGGCTCTGGACACAGACGGCCGCCTGGACCTGCTGCCCACAATATGGAAAGGTGAGTTTAAAGATAACCTGAGGGTTACAGGAATCTAATCCCACTTGTTGTGGAAATTAACAGCGTCCGTGTCTGTTTTCTGAATCTGTCGTTCCAGACATCCGGTCTCTGGGTCATGACAACAAGTCCGATCTGGTGGAGGAGCTGCTCACCCTGATGGCCAGGGACAGACACAGTCCTGAGGTCAGTAAAGGGGCGAGAGCGGGGACGGTGTAACGCGATGAAGGGGATCTGTCGTGTGTGACCAGACGGCTGCGTGTGTGTCCGTAGGTTCAGGAGGCGTTCGCCGTGTGTGCTCTGGACGTGAAGACTGCATTTAGTGGAGACAGAGGGAGGCTCAGTCTGGAGTGGAGCAACGCCTCCCTCTCACACATCACCTCTCTGCTGCTGCGAGCCAACAAGACCCAACAGGCCTGGTGAGAAAGTCGGTCCATCCACCAACACAAGAGCGTTCTACTAACCCTTACTGCCCAATGATGTTAAAAGACTTCTCCTCCATTCTTTCTGCAGGGAGATGCTGCAGCTCTTCAAATCCAAGAACAGAGTTCCTGAGTAAGTCTCCACCTTCCACAGAGCTCTAATTGATGACATCATTTGACATTAAACAATGAACATAATGCTGGTATTTTACTTTGAAAAACTACCATCAGTGAAAAACCTGTAAAGTTTTCGGCTCCGACATCTCAAACTTGTCGTGACAGGAGGGTTTCAACACAAACGGTAAACATGTCACTAGCACTAGGTGATAAAAATGTAATTATATTTTCATATAACGGTTAAGCACCACATGTAGAAATGTAACGGACTCTGGATGCAACTGTTCCAACAGATAAAACAAGTTGTAGGAATGACGTTTGGCTGCTTGTTCCCGCTGTGTTATTCTCCAGAGAGGGGCTGTTGGAGGACTTCCTGTCGGCGTGCCGCAGCGACGGCTCTCCCGACAGAGCAGTGGAGCTGGTCCAGCTGTCCGCAGCCTTCTGTCTGTCTGCAACACCAAGACTGGCAAACCAGACGCTGGCCCAGTTTGATGTGACGGAGGAGCAAAGGTGAGGATAGAGAGTCTAGACATTTGTACACGCCTGGAAACATAACGGGAAAAGAGTTTTTTTTGATAATAATTTCAGCATCTTTGTAGCATTTGAACTCAACATGATGTATCATATGGATTTACTTTTAATCCTATTCTTCTGTCCCATCCAGAGCCGTGTTATCTGAGCTGGAGGCGACAGGAGAGCCCTCGGTCAACAGTGGGTGAACCGCGATGATGCCAATCTATCGATACAAAAATGTGATAATCCACAGAGTGTGTTTCTGTTTCTATATCTGTGCAATAAAAATATATGTCCCGTAAATAAGATCTTGCAATGCTTTCTTTTGGTCCTCAGCTAGAGGCCGCCATTTCTCCTTCAGGGAGTGCTCAAGTCACTTTTCAGGGTCCTACCACATTGTGTCATATTTTACAGTTTCATTCCCACTCTGTGTGCATTAGATGATTCTTTTCAGCTCACCAGAACATGACTGAGAGAGACCATAGACCAGGGATGTGTATTTTTATGCATGACCATAAAAATATGGTTTGGAGGGAAGGACGCAGAGGCAAATGTCTCTTGCTGATAACTGACCCAACTTCCTCAAATCACTGATAAGCCACTTCCTTGTGCCTGTAGGGGCCTGCAATGCTGGTCTGGACATTTTAACTGTCTCGTTTTATCCGCGTAGACCTCCAGCAGGCTCAGCAGAGACATGCAGAGAAACAGGTGGTGGTGTGCAGATGCAGGTATCCACTGGGTGTGTGTTTTTGCAGATTCGGAGGAATTTAGGGATAGCGTGTCTAGACAAGACAGGTGCCAGAGGTGTGTGTGTGTGTGAGAGAGAGAGAGACAACTTCATTTCTACATCACTCCAGCCTTTAGAAACACTGCTTGCTTTGAAATATAATTCAGAAAAAAACTTGAATCTACCACATAAGGAAGCATAGTAATAGTGTTTATTGTGTTCATCTAATGGCATTATTAGCAGCGATCCCACTCAGCATCAATGCATGTAGAGGAAACATTGGTATCAAGTCATGTGTGTGTGTGTGTGTGTGCAAGCCTGCACAGGTGTGTGCCTCTTATCAAAATGTTTTTTTTTGTTCGACCAATCATGAGCCGAACTGTGGGTATGACCATATAAGGGCAAATGGGCTAAAGTGAGTGGAGAGTGTGTGTGTGTGTGTGTGTGTGTGAGGTGTGGTCTGGGGAATTGTTCTCCAGAGGAGCTGCCTAAAACCACACAAACAAATCCACTCGCTGATAACCGCAACAGGCCTTTTTTTTCCTTGCCTTTCAAATGTAACACTCGGTTCTCTGTTGACCTGCTCAAGATAGTGGGGGGGGGGACCAACACAGTCACACCTTCTCTCATATGAACTCTCACATGCTCTCACACACGGAGATTTTGAGAATTGTTAGGTTGCAAAAACAGCGTGAAGGTAGTTTTCTTTGTTCTGCTATTCATGCTTATTTTTGTTCTTTTTTTGGACCCCTCTGTGAGAAGAACTGCAGGTGTTAAAGGGACAGTTCACTCCCAAATCAAAAAAATACACTTTTCCCCTCTTACCTGTGGTGCTTTTTATCGGTGTAGATTGTTTTGGTGTGAGTTGCCTGGTTTTAGAGATGTCGGCCGTAGAGGTGTCGGCCTTCTCTCCAATATGACGGGACTATATGGCACTTGTCTTGTGGTGCATAAAGCGCCAAAAAAATATGTTTGGGAGAACTCAACAGCAATGTCTCTTTTCAGAAATCATGTCCTGGTTACTAAAGATAATCCAGGTGGTTTATTTTGAGTAACCAGGTTAAGATGTCTGATAGAGTAGATAGCTTACAGGTAAAAGGAAATATTTGTATTTGTGATTTTGGGCTGAACTGTCCCTTTAAGGATTAGGAATAGCCTGTGACAGACTGAAGGACCTGGAATAACAGCAGAAGTGTAAGGTTACCAACAACAATCAGGAGTTTGATTCGCCTGGATAAAAGGCAAACACATCACAAAATAGTTTGTGTTCTGCAAGCTTGCAAAATAAAACAACAACAAGTGGCCGGTCACAAGCATTCCTTTCTCCCACTCCTTTATGCAACAAGACGCTTTTGATGAGGAGGTCAGAGGTCAAACAGGATGTGATGGAACGTCCTCTAATGCTTTTGATAGCTCTCCCACGTGTTGCCTTTTAACATTTCTCACTCGATGTGAGGTTAAAAGGAAACAGAGAGAGATGGCGATGGAAGAAGAGGAAAAGGGGCTTTAATGGAACTCTAAACTCTCGCTGGGTAACTGTGTATCTCTGTTGAGAAAAGAAAAACAGGTCGGCAGCTCACGTCTACCCACGACAACATTTCATGGTGATTGACAGCTATAATTGGCATCCAGCTCTGTCAATCCCCCACACTGGAAAGAGCACAGGATCCAGATTGGCCGTGGAGACCTCAAGTTGGCTTTTGGTCTGGCCTCACAACATTATTTCATATCTAACTGGAGATTTCTGTCCCAATAAACACTTAAATCCCACTTTTTTTAACCTTTAATACCACAGCCCTTTTACACCAGTGACTCTCAGCAATTTTAGCAATTTTGGGATGAGGTTTGATTTAGGAACTCACCTGTGTTAGCTTCCTAGTTCACAGCCTACAGTCCGACAAAATTAAAAAAAATGCAGTTACGTGCATAGGTATCCAAAGAATGATAATTCCTCTGTGTCACAAAGCTGCAATGTTGTCCGAAAATCCTTAAAAACAGATAATAGGCCACATTGTTGGTGACATCGTCCTTCATTACTATGAACATCGCCACTTAAGTTTACTCACCGTCCTGTTGCTGTAAATACTCGCCACACTAGATGTGGATTCATCCGCAGCTGAAATTAGTCCCTAACAAATACATTGTTTACTCCTGTTTGTGTAATATCTGTGAAAAACACAGTGACCAGTTTTTTGAGGAAACTAAAGTGTACATTTATAACTTAAATTATTGAGAAATGGACTAACAGCATTGATGGTTTTGGTATCATGTAATTTGTTGATAATAACAAAAAGATATAGAATATCATAAGCCTTAAATTTAGTTACAATATAGATCTACATTTCAGGAAACAAATAGTTTTCCTGAAATGTCTAATTGGATTTCTGGAGGATAATTAACCAGTGGATAAGTATGTTAATAAAAACGTTTTTGTGCTGTAACGTCATTTCACCATTTCTGCATTTGTTGTAAGTTTCATCTGAGCTTATTTAAATGTGATAAGTCATTGTACAGTGTTACCTCAGTGTTTCATGGCAGTGGTAGGCAGTAGGTTAACTAGTAGTTACCCCGAGTATCAAAATAGACGGGAGTCACACAGTAGCAGCTCATGTTCTGTATGTTTTGTATGTGTGTGTGTGTGTTTGTGTTTGGTTTATGAGTCACAGAATGGTCAGTCTGTCTGTGTCTCTCTCTGTCTGTGTCTCTCTGTCTGTCTCTCTCTGTCTGTGTCTCTCTCTGTGTCTCTCTCTGTCTGTGTCTCTGTCTGTCTGTGTCTCTCTCTGTCTGTGTCTCTCTGTCTGTGTCTCTCTCTGTCTGTGTCTCTCTCTGTCTATGTCTCTCTCTGTCTATGTCTCTCTCTGTCTGTGTCTCTCTCTGTCTATGTCTCTCTCTGTCTGTGTCTCTCTCTGTCTGTCTCTCTCTGTCTGTGTCTCTCTCTGTCTGTGGCTCTCTCTGTCTGTGGCTCTCTCTGTCTGTGGCTCTCTCTGTCTCTCTCTGTCTGTGTCTCTCTCTGTCTGTGTCTCTCTCTGTCTGTGGCTCTCTCTGTCTGTGGCTCTCTCTGTCTGTGTCTCTCTCTGTCTGTGGCTCTCTGCTATGCAGGTCTGTCTCTCACACATAGCTGAGGGGCAGATGAGCCGCCAACAATAGTGAATTGGCCGACAGTGGTTTTTTTGGGCTTGTTGACATACTAGCGTTATCACATGAGCCACTTATCAGCTTCCAGCCCTGGTTAAGCACCGGCAGACCCTATCCAAAAGTCCTTCAAATTGTCGACTGTGGTCTCTGTTTCAATTTCACATTTGAGTACATTCCATGAGTCACGTATGTGTTTTTAAATCTAGGTCTATCTGTGAAAGTATTGACTCCATGGAAGAATGCACACAGCCCGTATTGTCTTTTGGTCTCTATTACTGGCGCACTGGTTTTTGTTGCTGTTTCCATTCCTCCTGATGCAGGGAGCAGGAATGCATTACTGTTTCAGTTGTGTTGTCTGTCATCTTTTTCCTGTGTAGAAAATGAGCTCCAAATGCATTTTCTTGCCAATAAACAAACCGTGAATCAGAACCTGAGCCTTTAATTTAATATACTATATTGATCCCTTTAAGGGGGAAATTTGTCTCTGCATTTGACCCATCCCTGTATATAAGGGAGCAGTGGGCTGCCAATGACAGGCACCCGGGGAGCCTGGGGTTCAGCGTATTGCTCAGATACACTGCGACACATGACACATCCCAGTCGAAGATTGAACCATTGACCTTCCGGTTCCCAGATAACCCTCTTAACCCAGTGAGCCACGGTCGCCCCGAGTTGTGTTGAGATGTCACAACTATATAGACGTAAGCGTTCTAAATGTCTCCCAGTTCACTTCCTGTTGGAGTTTATGTGAATGACATCAGCTGACAAGAAGTAAACAAGGATCCATTGAAATGAGCTAAAACAGAGATTTCTAGACAGAGGGTGAATACAGGTATATTTAAACGGACAGTATGAGAAAAATAAGTATTTTGAATATTTAAGGCTTGTAAACATGTTCTAGTAGAAACCCAAGATACAAGTATGAACCTGGAAATGAACAGGGTGTGTGTCCTAAAAACACTATTATAGCTTCACAATGGAAACTGCAAATCATGCTAATACATAACGAGATCTGTTATGAAATGTGGCCTTTTCTTGGGGAAATGATTATGTAAATGAGCACTTCAGTGGGCCCATGTATTTATTTTTGCATTTGATGTCTTTATTGGACAGTTAATGGTGTAGAGAAAGACAGGAAAGGAGGGGGATAGAGGGACATGTAGAGTTCAAGGATCATTTATTGTCATTGTGCAACACAGCTCAAGAGTCACTGATCTCTCGCTGCTCTCATCCGTCTTATTCTTCTGCGACCGGACATCATACAGCCAGCAGGAGGCTGGGTATGGAGTAGCCTCAAGTCCTAGCTGGGTTAACTCCATCTGGGCTCTCCTCCCTCTCCTCTCTGGGGCAGTTTGGTGGCGTTTAGTCCGGCAGGTCCGGCTGGTTGGTCGGCTGTGGGCGGTGATCTAATCAAAGTCTGCTGCACTAAATCCAATCCCCG